TATATTCAACTGAAGTTCATGTAACAAGAACCAACACTTTTTCCTACTTGACTTCCATTCCAATGTCGCATACTTAAGGGCTGGTCTTCTAAGGGTGCCAGCATTCCCCTGAACCAAAATAAGCAAACATCCAAGTACTTTGAATTCTCTTCCTCAAAATTATGCTTCATTATCCTGGGATCTTGACAGAATAAAAGACCACTGCTGAATTCTAAAAGGTTTTCAAATTTATCTGGACATGCAGTAATATGGAGGAATTTATCCATTGGATTTACCTTTTTCCATTTGAATCTTACCCTGCAGACTTCCTGACAGATTTGAATTATCATCTATATAAAGAAGAGGCAATCAAGAGAAAAGTTCCTCCTGTTCTCCCAGAATTCCCCCAATCCACAGCTTAGTCCAGCAGTTTAACGAGGCTTAAGGGAGTTCTGCTACAAGACATTGCTCCCACTAACATGGTCACTGTTAGAAATCACTTTGAATGAAGGCATTGAAGGTCCCTGTGAAAACAAATTTTATAGCTTTTGTGTGTAAGAGACCCCGAGTGACTTAAGATGGGAGAATTTTCCACTGTGGCTTTCACAAATCCTTGTACCCCCGACTCTCAAATCTCTTGGACCCCCATTGCTTTTCCTTCCCCTCCCCTCTTGCATATGACTTTAACCCCTAATTCTTCCTCCTCACCTCTCTCAATAAAATCCAGACTGCCCAAACAATGACTCTTATTCCACAAGAACAATCCCTGTATTCCCATTTCCGAAACTAGCTGGACTGCCGCCAAACCCTGTCCTGCTAAGTCTAGCTGAATTTCGGCCAACCCCCTCCTGCTAAAGCCATGCAAAATTTTCCGCTGTCCTTCTCCAAGTTAAAATGCTCCTTTGGAGCCTTCCTTTCAGAGCCTTATGGTAATGACTCTCCAGCTGATTTTATTCCATAGTTTCGCTGCTGAGATTCAGGCAGGATTGGTCACTTTGCTGTTCAGCCCAGACCACTTTGTTAAAGGACCAGTTCATTCTATGGACTAGACCAGTGTTTGGCTCTCCTGGCCTTGAAGCACTCTCTAAACCTTTATTCTTCATCTTTATTGTCTTGTATACATCTTGTATACATCTCTAGGTTTGATTTTTCTACTAATAGAGGTGTTCATAATCACAGTGGGGCCATAATGCCAAGGAGATTTTGTTAGTTTGTTCAGGCCACTTGCATATAGGTTTAACATTATAAAGCCAATAGCACTAAATTGTGGAAGCTCTGTGAGTGTTCTAGAACTTTACTGACCACCTTGGGGAACTTGGGATATGATTGAGACAATCCATTTGATTGGCACCTTCCCATCAAAGGATTCAAAGATTCCAAATATTTAATGGTCAACAAGTTTTAACTGGTAAGAAGAGGCCTCTTAAAGACAAAAATCTTCTAAAAGACAGCAAAATTATAAAATTACTTAGGGACTCCTTAGAAAAAGCTAATAAAAATATGGATCATCTAAAAATCCAAACTTAAATTCTCTTTTTTCTCTTCTGCCCCATCTTTGGATTGACTTTCCTCCTGGTCTCCTCTCACTTCCTCTTCCCCATGTTTTGTTCCTCCTCATCTCCCTGCACATTGTCTCAACCCCCTTTCCTATTCTCCACTGTCCCTTCCTAAATACAGTCCTCTCACTGAAGAATATCCCTTCAATATCTTTTAATGTAGATGGAAATTGTTTCACAGCTTTAAACCTTGGTCAAGATCAGATTTCCATAGTGTAGCTAAGAACTTTCTAATCCCTTCTTAGGAAAGACAAAAGTTTAAGAATTTAAGCATTGTCTTGGGAATTTATAGTAAGGGAGTCCTTGATCTCTTTCAATTAGTTCATCTAAGCAGAGATGCTGAACTTGATTTGAAAAGCATGATGGATTGATTACTAAAATGATAGAAAAAAAGTGGGATGAAATTTAACTGCAGGTGGATATAAAAAGTGTAAAACCCAGACAAGCTTTCTTAGCAGCTATTCCTGAGAACTTTCCTGTCAAAATCGATGGGCCAAAAATCCAGTTACATAAGGAGGGAAAAAACTCAGATCCATCCTTAATTTCAGAGACAGGTTAACTACTATTTTCCACAACACTCTTTTCTCAGTGGGAACAAAGATACCACAGTCGTCCTAACCACCTCTGTATTGATGGTCTTAAAACCATCAATACAGAGGTGGCAGATTTAGTTAGGAAACAGACAATTGAATGGTAGACGACCTTCTCTCTGGACTACAAGAACTTGAGCACTTTGAAGATACTTTGGCTCAGAAAAAAAAAAAATTCAATTATCAACTCTTCACAATTAAGCAATTAGATAAACCCGAAACAAAAACATCTCTGTAGCCAAACTATACAAAGATATGTGTAGATACGATAAGGAAAAGGGATACTGGAAAAATGCTTGCTCTGCCTTGAATTAAAACACAGAATCTAAAATAATAAAGGACCAAATTTTTGCGACAGAATTACTTCCTTTTGAGTAAGTAGATCCTTCAGTTTGTCTAAAATTGCCCTTAAGACAAAAGGAAGAAATTTCTATACAATTGCAAAAAAAAAAAAAAAAAAAAAAAAAAAAACAAAAAACAAAAAAACAAACCAAGGATGTTCCTTTTTTGTTGATACCAGACCTACATATTCTACCATAAACCCACCTTTCCATCATTCCTTCCTTGGAGTAGCTAAAACATTTCAATGGTAGGAATCTCCTATCATTAGTCAACATGCTTTCTACACAATGATTCCACTCTGTAGATCTGTTGGAGTGAAATCTACCTTGCAAATGGAGTGCTACTCTAATGTGGGCTGGGCAAAGTCTTTCTGAAACTCCATGGAAGAGAAGATTATTTTATTTTTGTACAGATAAACTTCTCAGTACCGGAGCCTTTGCCTAGGACAGACTCACCTAGTGCCTTCTATAATTTAAAAAGTGTTCTTCAAAAGCTCCTATGCTTGTACTCTCCGATTATCATAGACCTTTCCTTCTATTGTATATGAAGCATCCAAAGACAAGCTCTGAGGGTTCTAACTCAATAGCCCAAAGGGCTTCTGACATCCACCACTCATAATAGCCTCTCACTTTACCTATAACAAAAGTCTACCCTCTTTGTTTGTCTTCAGTGGCAACAGCTACATAGTTAATTGAGGCTTCTATTGACTTAGTTTTAGGATCTCCTCTTAACATTATGGTCCCTCATGTCATTCAGACCTTACTCTTGACTGAAAACACTCAATGCTTTTCTGCTTTAGATTAACCTTCTATGAAATCCTTCTCTTCTCACTCACACATATTTCTATCCATTGCTATAGCTCCTAGACTCTCCTTCCCCCAGCTTTCTTTCTCTCCCAGGGGAGGAAACAAACCTAATGACTGTCATGCACTTATTCAGGAATTTTCCTGATCTCTTTGATCTCTTTGATCAGATCACTCTGATCTCTTTGAAACTCTTTGACAATCCAGATTTAGAAATGCTTATGGATGGAGCCTATTAAGAGAATGGAGCAAGGAGGTTGTTTAGCTTAGTATGTGACGGCAACTCACTCAAATATTATCCTTTTCCAGGGGCCAGATTTGTACAAGTTGCTGAAATTGTAGCAGTTACTACAGCCTGCCAATTAGGTAGAGATAAGAGAGGAACTATCTATACAGATAGTAAATATGCTTTTGGGATAGCTCATGATTTTGGCATGCTTTGGAAGCAATGTGCTTTAACTCCATCTGGTATTTCATTTAAACATGGTAGTCACATAAAATTCCTATTAGATGCTTTGTTTTTCCAAAGGAATTGACTATATTAAGTTTGGGCCCCATAGTAAAAAGCAGACTCAAGCAACAAAGGGTAATAGCAGATTACTATACTAAATGAGTTGCTTTAACACCTTCAGGCTTTCCAACAAGTCTAAGAGTCAAAGCAAAACTAGCTCCCAAGTATCGGCATTAGGTCTTGAGTTAATTTTAGTATCCGCATTTGATTATAAATAAGTATATTGGAAAAGATTAAATTTTTTATCCTCCCAGTAGCTATGGTGATACCAAGATATTCTCTTGACCTGCATCAAGATACTGATGTGGATTTTCTCAGAAAGTGTTACATGCTATGACCCATTACGGAAAGGAAATCTTAAAAACATCATCAATAAGGATTGTTGTGGACACTTCAGTAAGATTGTAGAGGCTATCTGTGGTGTGTTTCCCATCTGTCAAATCTATTGTCTTGAGAAAATTGTAAAGCTGTGGTAAAAACACAACCCAAAACCTTTCGGATCTTTTGGACATCTATTTACAGATGGATTTCATTCAGTCACTCACCTCATGTAGTTATGAGTATGTACTTGCTATTGTATTTCTATTTCTTGGACTTCTAGAAGACTTTCATTGCCATAAAGCAGCTGCTTTGATAGTAGCGAAGAAACTCTAAGACTTTGTGTTTTCCATTTGGCAATACCCACCTATTTGTTTGGTGATAGAGGTACCAACTGAGACTTGTAAAACTGAGGAACTTTAGTTGCTGAGGCCAAAGGTTTTATACTTAAACTTCACGGCCCTAATCTCCATATGAAATGGTCACTGGATGCTCAGTGCATGTAGAGATCTCACCCCCATCCTAACTGTTCTTTCACCTTCCAACATGGCAAAATACTATAGGGGATTAACACAGCATACTCAAGTTTATAATCAACAGGTCCAAGCAGCTTTCCAAATGTTAATCTACAGGAACTCTTACATGACCTTCACACTTGGGTCTTGGATTAAAGAAAATGACAAGCACATAAGACTTATTTTCAAACTTCATTAGAAAGGACCATATCAAGTGTTGCTAACTACATACACTGCAGTAAAAGTCCAGGGAATCAATCCTTGGATCCCTGTCTCCCAGTTAGAAAGTTATTATACATCTACCTCTTGGACTTCTGTGTCAACAGGAGATCTAAAACTGAGAATCCCTTGGAATCTTCCAGAGGGTGACATCACAAAGGTGATAGCTATTCTGATATTTGGACCAAGCAGTGGGCTGCTGGAGTGATCCTTTTATCCAAGATCTTCAGCTCAAGACCCCTGCACTCTAAGAGTAACTGACAATATACCTCTTCATCTCTTTCTCCTATTTTTCATAGCCATCTTTGAGATTCTTAAAGTTTCTATAGTTTTTTTTTTAATACTTCAACTGTATTATTTTTTTTCTGGGTAAATGAGAATCAAAATTGTTACACATCCCTATGATGTCAATAAGACATCAAGACAGAAGTCTTCTTTATAGACTCTGGGTGGAGAGAGGATTTTTTCTGGGATAATTGCAGATGGGTAGGATCTTGGCTAAGAGGCATTGTCCAAAGCCTTCTCATAATTCTTATGTCCATGTTTGTCTCCCCAGTCATTTACTATATTCTCTTCAGAATTTTAAATACCTCAGGCACTCGATAAATAATTAAATTGAATTACAAAGGCAAGATTCCATAGGAGGTCAGAGAGAAGAGGTATAATTTTAAGAAAATCCCTGACGGCAGTCATACCAAAGAATCAGAGACTAATTGTCTCAAGCGGCATAGATCTAGAGCACTGAATGAGCCTAGACTAGGTTTAATGATGAGACTCTGTCTGCCCATTGACCTAGAGGAGGGACTGTGAGAATTTCCCAGTGTGGCCTTCGTATGTTCTGGTCTCCTTCAGGTGCTCTCCATACCCCTCTTGCCCATGACTTTAGTTCCTAACTCTGTATCTTCATCCTCAACAAAATCCACACTGCCCAAACAATGGCTGCTAATCCACAAAAATAATTTACTCCCTTCTAGTTTGAACTATGGATGGGGAAGTGGGAAGGGTGGAGTAGTGTTTGGAAAAGAGAAATAGCCCTGGGAAAATGAGTAATGACAAGCAAATGAGGAGGGCAAGAATTCAACCACTGATTTGGGGAAACCTAGGAAAATATCACAAATAAACCCAAGCACAGCCCTGCATGGGGTTGTAGCCATCCTGGAGAATCATGTTTGGGATAGAAACTACATTAGGTAGGATAAAAACTGTAATATAGAGACCCCAAAAGACCGTAGCTTATACAATAAAGAAGTTCTTTTTTCTTTCTGTAACAGTCCTGGATTTAATAGTCCAGATTTGCATATGTTCCTGATCGATGTAGACATTTAGAGGTATGCTATCTCATTAGTCCATTATCCTTTAGAGCATAGCAGAAGCTGGTCAGAGGCACTAGCTTTTAGACTGTAGAGAGGGGAGGAAGATGTACACTAAACAAAGGTCTTGTGTCTTAAGACCTAACTTCAAGGGGCAAACAGTTCTTCTGCTCACATTCAGTTGTTGAGAAGATGGTCACATGTTCACACCACCTGCAAGAAGATGTGATAAACCTGTACTTTGGAGCAGTCATGTGCTTCAGTGTATATTCTCTCTTTCTAAGTCTGTAAGTCTCTTTCTGGATTTGATTTCCAAAGGCCTAAGGAGTTATGAGAGCAGAGCAGATTTGTGATACAGATAAAAATGGAATGTCAGGCACTGATAGTTTCCTACACAGTATCTATTTCCTTTCTGCCCTTTTCTTTAAGATTTATTTATTTCTTTGAAAGAGGGGGAGGGAGGGAGGGAGAGAAAATGAGAGAGCATGGGGATGGGCAGAGGGAGAGGGAGAGACTCTCAAGCAGACTCTCAGCTGCGTACAGAGACCGGCAGGGAGCTTGATCCCTACAACCCTTAGATCATGACCTGAGCTGAAACCAAGAGTCAGACACTCAACCGACTGACCCACCCAGCTGCCCCTCTACCCTTTTCAAGGGAACTCCGGTTCTCTCAACTCACACCACTTGCTGGGCATATTCTCTTGTAGTCCAAAGTGGTCATGGGACTCAATCTAGGCAAAGAGATGTAAATGATGCATTTCTGAGAGTCTTTTCCTTTATCCTTTTTTCTGCCTATTACACAGTTGCATAGATGTGATGTTTGGAGGAGGAGCAACCATCTTAGAAACCATAAGACAACCAGAGTGAGGATGAAAGCCGAAATATTAAGGATGGTAGAGCTGAAAGATGGAGAGACTTGGGGCCCTTGATGGCCCACTGGGTCATAAAACTAGTTATGTGAGCCAGATAAAGCTCTTTTGTATTTAAGCCAGTATATGGCAGACACTGTAGTATTTGCAGTTGACTAGATCACTAAGAAATGGGGAGGCAGAGTGGAGAGAGAGAGAGAGAGAGAGAGTGAGCACTCCTTTCCTGTCCCTGACAGCTTCCTGTCCCTGTCCCTGTCCCTGTCCCTGTGTGTGTGTGTATTTGTCAGTTTGTTATTTACCTAGCCTAGGGAGAGAGGAGAAGGGAAGAGGAGTGATAAAAGTATAATAAGGAGGAATGATAAAAGCAGTGATAAAAGCCTACCATGGTGATTATCTGCTTTACTCCACAGAGCCACTTCCCAACCTTCATCCTACCTGGTGCCCTGGGTGACTATCTGTAAAGACTATATGAACAGTTTCCTTGCCCTCCATTCTTTCATTGGCCAGTAGAAGACATTGGCAAGAGATCTGGAGAACAGGAGGAAAAGAAGAATGGGGTATTTATTCCTTTGCCTTCCCAGCAGTGCCCTTTAACGGAAGGCTGCAGCTTCTGTCAGATGGTCCTCTCTGCACTGGTCACTTTTTGGTTCCTGTAGCCACTTCCTCCCCTCATTTATTCTGGCTGGATGGAGAGTGGTGATGGCTCCCTGTCACCTCCTTTGTTACTTTTCCTAACCTCTGCTCACATTTTTGTAAACAGTTCCTTTACAAAGTCTTTAATTATCCAGCTAGGAAGTGCATCTGATTTCTGCCAGGATCTTGGCTGGTCTGTTTCTCAGAGTGGGGCTCAGAGCCCTGCTTCCAGGATTAGAGTCACATGGAAACAGCAAGCTCTAGAGGTCGGGACAGACTTGTACAACTGCTCATGCACCAAAGCAGCTCGGTTGTACCATGCGGGGGTAGGATGAGAAGAATGAGGAGGACAGGAAATAGAGGTAAAGAACCAGACAGTCTGAGTTGAATCCTGGCTCTCACTCTTACCAGAGAGAAGCAGATGCCATTAACTCTGTGCCTCACTTTCCTCAACTATAAAGTGGGGTAATTAATAATAATACCTGTGTCCTCAGAGTGCAGTCAGGGTTAAATGAAAATCCATGTAAAACAGGGCAGTTCTTGGGACTTTGTAATTAACAAAAATAGCCATAATAATAATTATTATTACAGATCAAGTATTAGGCAAGATGCTGGTTGCTTCAGAAGATTTCTGTGTAGACAAGTGAAATCAAAGATGAATGACTTTATAATGAAGATCTGGACTCTGATATTTGACTGCTGACAGCTGTTAAATTTCACCTCTTCCTCTTCTTCTGTACCACATCTGGACCAGCTGATCTTGTAAGGCCCGAGTGCTCACCATTTTGGCACTAGCAAAACCACAAGTTCCTGCCACATGGGGACTCACATCCTCAGCCCCAACCCCTCAACCCAGCTAAAAATCTATACCAGTCTTTCTTCCTTGCTTTTTCACTTTGGACTTGGTTGAGAGGCCTTCCCTGCCCTCCCAGACATCTCAGTTATGTAAATAATAAGCCTTTTCCTAACTGTTTGGTAGATGTGTGATGGCATCAGTAGCAACATCCAAACCAGACTTTCGGTGAGGGTCCATCTGCCTCTACAGGTGACATAACAGGCTTCCCTTCAAAATATGTTGGCACTGAAACCACAGTCCCACCATCCTATTTCAGACCCACTTTAGGGCAAACTTTAAACTGACTGAACTTATTTTTCTTTCTATAGGGAACAGGCATCTCAAAAACAGAAAATAACTTGAATCACAGGAAATAAATTTCTATTCCCCCACCCCATTTTGAGTTGTAGACTGAGATTTATATCTGCTGTATCAGATTACCTGATGATTTAGTTACTGAGCAAGGCACCGTCTTGTCCAGCCTTAAAAGTCTGCCTGGGACCAGTCAAAGTGGAACAAGGGCTGTGAAAAAGGCAAGACCCCATAGTGCCTACAGTTTGAGCACATAGATTCTGAACTGTGCTGTTTTGCTTCCACTTCCTTCTCTTGACCTCCAAATTGAAGACCACTTACCTGCTCACCTCTTATGTCTTTGCTAGGCCCTTCTGGTTAGGGAACCCACCCATTCTTCTTTAGCCACCAGCAGTGTCCTTTTTCCTCCTAATATCTTATTTCTCTTTTTGGTAAGTTTAAGGTATGGAAGTATTGTAACATAGGCATGACCCATACAGATAGCCCTTTTCTGGGTATGGCTTAGCCCAGAAGACAGCCAAACTTCTGTGGATAGACATAAGAATCACTAAAGGAACTTTTTAAAAAATTGTAGATGCTGGGAGACTATCCCAGATCTGTGAAGTGATAATTTGCTTCAGGGATAGGCAGGGATGGGAAGAGATTGGTTAGGAATCTGTATGTTTAAAGGTAAAGCTCCCCAGCTGATCCCAGTGATGAATCAGACATAACGGCATATTGAACTGGATATCTTAGTTGTGACACTCGGTTGTTTAAACCCCTAGCCTTCATGACACAGGAACATTTAACCCCAAGGATATTCTGATCCCATCATTTGCTGTTGTTGTGCCATCAGCGTGGGTAGTTGGTAGAGAATACACAAAATGATTGGAAATACGTTAAAGAAAGGTCATAAGACAGAGAAATCCAGACAGCAGAATAACTTTGACATAGCTGAGGGAACTTTCTTACAGTTTTCTCATGTATTAGTTAAAAAAAAATCCAAACCGTCAGTCTTTTATCCAACTCATACTAAATATTACTGTTAGGAATGATCACATTTACTGTTAGGAATGATCATAGTTGAAATTACACATGGTAAAATTTGTTAGAGATAAAAATCTGATGACAAATCATGTCTTGATGCTCACATTGAAACATACAAATATTGAACAGGGAAAAATTAGACTTGGCAAAAGTAATCAACACTAAATAAAACTGCCAACAGCTAAATTGGCATATGTTGAAACTTATTATTGCCTAAAAATTGATGTAAGAATCCAATTTTTTTACGAAGTTTGGGTGTGAATAATTTGACCTGAGACCATTGGACTTAGTACAAATAATGACCATAAAAGAACACATGCAATTGTAGAAACTATAATCAAGAAAAATTTGATATGAACAGTAAGGGAAAAAAATGTTCAATAACATTTTCATTTAAACCTTATGTGGAAAATAACTGATTCCAATGAAAAGAATTTCAGTAAATTAAAAACCAAAAGAGAAGAAAATTAGAAATGTCTTAATGCCTTGGAAAAAATTTTTATCAAGTATTTTTATCTATTAAAGTAGCTTAATAGAAATTAGTTCTAAAAAATACTTTCCTAATGAAAGTATTCATCCAGGTAAGCATAATTTTGATGTAAAGCTTTCTACTCCTAAACACAGGAGTTAAAAGATTCTCATATCTGAAAGTCAACAGCATCTAAATAGATGGGTTAAAACAAAAGGCTCAAAATTTCCTGCATCCAATTATTTATTGTGAGTGTCAAGAAAGGAATGATTAGGAAGAGTCTGCAAGAAAGTGTCAAGAAAGGAATGATTAGGAAGAGTCTGAAATATGGGGTAAACCCAACAAGGGCAAGCATTCATGGAATCCCACAACACAGCTTCGGATTTCTGGGCATCCAAATGGCAGATTAAGGCAAGGTATACCTAGAAGAAAAAGCACAGAAGACAAATCCTTTAAAATTTTTCTTAAGCCCCTCCATTCTTACTTAGCTTTCTACTAGAGGAATTGATCCATAACTCATAATTCTTGAAGTTGACAGAAACAGTCATCCTTCAAAATGCAAACCCCACTATAATAGAAAAGATTTAAAAAATAAGCTTTGGGAGGGATGTGGAGAAATTAAAACACTCTAACTCTACACTGACAAGAAAATCGTAAAATGGCGTAGCCACTTTGGAAAACAGCCTGGCAGTTCTTAAAAAAAAAAAAGATAACACACAGGTTACCATAGGACCCAGCAGTTTCAGTTCTAAGTATAGAGTGAAGAAAATTAAAACGTATGTTCACATAAAAGCTGGTTCACAAATGTTTATAGAAGAATTATTCATACTAAACAAAATTGGAAAGAGTCCAAGTGTTTATCACCTGATAAATGGATAAACAGATTTGTGGTATATCCATACAATGGAATATTGTTGGGCAATAAAAAGAGATAAAATACTGATGCCTGCTACAACATGGGTGAACCTTGGAAGCACTAGGCTGAGCGAAAGAGGGCAGTCACAAAAGGCCATGTATTGTATGATTCCACTTATATCTGGATATTTATTTTATTACGTTCAATTAACCAACATATAGTACATGTCCAGAAAAGGCAAATCTATAGAGACAGGAAGTAGGTTAGTGGTTGCTTAGGGCTATAAAGGGGCTAAAGAGGAAATGAGAAGGAAATGCTAATGTATATTTCTTTTTTAATTTATTTCTACTTTTTACTTTTAAGAAAATATTTATTTATTTGTTTGAGAGAGCGATAGAGAAAGAGACAGATTGGGAAGGAGGGGCAGAGGGAGGGGAGAGAAAGTCTTAAGCAGGCTCTGCACTGAGCATAGAGCCTGACTCCAGAGCTCCATCTCATGACCTCAAGATCATGACCTGAGCCAAAACCAAAAGTTGAATGCTTAACCAACTGTGCCACCCAGGTCCCCTGAGCACACATTTCTTTTGCAGGTGATAAAAATGTTCCAAAATTGACCATGGTGGTGGTTGCACAGCTCTGTGAACATACTAAAATCCACTGAAGTGTATAATTTAAATTGTGAATAGTGTAGTATCTAAGTTATAACTCAGGAAAGACTATATTAAAAATGCAAATCTCCATGAATGAAGTCACATCTTAAAAACTTGAGAGGCCAGTTTTTATCTCTGGGTGTGTTTTCCTCTATGTAATGGGAATGATATTAATACCTGATAAAGATGTTGAAGGAATTAATGAAGTAATGTATGTGAGAATGCCTCTACACCATAGGACAAGCGATGGTAGAAAAAGCTAAATGGGAAATAAGATCTGTGCTTTTCCTTCCATGGCATAGAATCAGCACAGGGAAACAGTTGCCCAAGCAGAGACTACAATTTCCATGGCTCCTTGCATCCAGTTATGCCATGATCTAGTTTTGACCAAGGATATGTAAGCAGAAGTGATGTGTGCGGTCAAGGTAGTTAGGCAGCCGATATCTATCTCATCCCCTGTTTCCTTTCCTGCCTGGTTGCTGAGTGACTGATAGGGCATCTGGAGTCTTAATCTGGGAGATGCCTGATCCTTAAAAACCCCTCTGTGGGGAAAATCCACCTGCCAGCTGCATATAACACTTTGGGTTGATAATGTCAGTGAAGAATAAGGTTCTATTAGGTTAAAATGTTTTTGTTACAGCAGCCAGTGTTTACCTTCACTAATACAAAAATTTAAGTAGGCCTTCAATAAGTTTTTGACAAAAATTAAGACATTTTTGTCATTGGCTAGTACCTTTGGAGTTTAAAAACGAAAGCCAGTAGAGACAGAGATGAGGAAAATGTGGAAATCTGAAAGGTGAAGGACTGGAATGGGTGGGGGAAGCATGTTACTGACTCAATACAAAATTTTATTGTTTATTCAATCATTCATGGCTCAACTTTTCTTAAGGGATTGATTCACATCATTGAATCTCATGGTCATGCAGCAAGTACCACATTAATTCTGAATTCTCGACACCATTTGCCAGACCTAATCACTTCAGTGAGCCTATATTCTTGAGGAGGGAGACAGAAAATAAAAGTAAGTAAATCATATGTTATATTGGATGGTGATAAGTGCCATGGAAATAAATAAACAAGGGACTATGGGATCTCAGGAATGGTGTTCAGTTTTAAATAAGATGGTCAAAGAATATATTATATGGAAGGTGACATCAGAGCAAAGTCTCAAATATAGTGAAAGAACAAACCATGATCCCAGACAGAGGGCTAGAGTATAAAGACCCTGAGATAGAAACATACCAGGTGTGTTCAAGGAACAGAGATAAAGTCAGTGTGGCTGGGGAAGGGTGGGCAAGGGGAAGAATGACAGAAAAGAAGTCAGAGAAATAAGGGGGTGGGACCAGATTGTTTGGGGGCCTGGGGACTGGACAAAGAGTATAATGGGAGATCTGAAAGAGTTCAAGACCAGAGATAATTGGCTACTGTTACTGACTTCAGTAGTGAATGCCAGTACAGTGCCCTAAAGACAGGTTCACTTTCACTTTAGCAGGTCAGTTCAGAAATTAGACAGCAATCCCACAGGAAGAACCAGCAAGAACTCAGATGGTGAATGGGATCCAAGATGCCCCATTCCCTACCCCCGGACACCATGAGGTCATATCAGTGCCTTTGTACTCTAAGATGATATATTCTCTAGGAGCAAGAGAGAAGGGGAGAGCTTTAAAGACTGAGCATTTATCAGACACAATCTGGAAGAGACTGAATTTATAAGGATAAAAAAAGATGCTACATTTTCTTTGCAAATCTTAGTTCTACTGGATTAGCTATGGTGTTCCACAGATCTCTTAAGTTCTGTTTGCCTTCCTTCAGTTTATTTCTTTCTGTTCCTCACACTTGATAGGTTTCCTTGTTCTGTCTTCAGGTTCACTGATACTTTCTTTTGCCTGTTCAAATCTGCCATTGAATCCCTACAGTGATCTTTTTTTTTTTTCACTTCAGTTACTGTACTTTTCAGTTCCAGATTTTTTTGTTGTTGTTTCTTTTTAGACTTTCTATCAATTGATATTTCCATTTTGTTCAAATATCACTTTTTCGACTTTCTCCACATCTTATTTTAGTTCTTTGAGCATTTTTAAGATAAGAGCTTTAAAGTCTTTGTCTAGGAGATCTGCTATTAAGTCTACAGGGAGAGTTTCTGTTGGTTTATTTATTTTTTTTTCCTAAAAATGAGCCACAGTTTCCTATTTTTTGTATACTTTGTGCTTTTTTGTTTTACACTGAACATACCAGGGTGACTCTGGAAATCAGATCCTCACTCTTCCTCAAGGTTTACTGGTTTTTATTATTGTCTTTGTTTTTTCTTTGTTTGTTTTTGATTACTGTAGGTCTCTATGCTAAGGATCAGCTGAGGTATAAACCTAAGGTCTTCTAACGTCTTTTCTGAGCTTTTTCCTGGGCATGTGCAGTTACTTTCTAATTTTCTCCAAATATGCAGGTGTTCTTGTGTGTTTTAGACTTTAACGTCTGGCTTCTGAAAGGAGAAAAACTGAAAAGTTTAAATCCCCTAGAATTCACTTTAGCTGGCAGGGGAGGGGCTAGCAACAACAGAGGGGAAGTGAAACAACAATGGCTGTCCACCTCTTTGTCTGTACCTCTTTGATCAGAAGCAGCAATCAATGAGCAGAGCATAGATTTCCAATGTTGAGAGGACAACATCCTTTTTGCCTAGCCTGGCTCCATCAAAGTATGTGCAGGCTGCTCCAGGAACACTGGCAGAGCTGCCTACCATAGGACTGAGGTAGGGAACGGTTAGTTACTACTCTGCCAAGAACTGAAATTGACTAAAATTAACTGCAATTTACCATCCAAGTCTTCCCTTGGAAATTACAAGCCTTCAAGGACTCCAGAGTTTCAAAATAGTTATATCAGAGAGACTCTGTCAATGCAATTGTTATCTGGGTGGAGAGAGAGATCCCTGGTGCTTTCTACTCTGCCATCTTTCCAGAGTCCCCTTTTAGTGAATAGAATCTCATGTGCTGAATAGTATGTTAAACCTTATGTGTTGTTTTACTCTGGATTTTTGAGAGAAGCGGAACCAATAGGATGTGTATATAAAGAGATTTAGTTAAGGAAGTGGCTCATATGATTATGGAGGTTGATTAAGTTTCGAGATCTGTAAGGTGAGCTGGTGAAGCTGGAGACCCAAAAGAGCAAATGGATGGTGTAGTTCCAGTCTGAAGGCTGGTCGACTAAAGACTCAGGAAAAGCCAGTGTTTCAGTTCAACTTCAAAGACAGGAAAAAGCCAAGGTACCAGTATTGAAGGCCTTCAGGCCAGAAGAATCCCTTCTTACTCGGTGAAGAGTCAGATATTTTGTTTTATTCAGGCTGTCAACTGATGGGACAAGGCCCACTCACATATGGAGAGCAATCTGCTTTTGCTCAGTCTACCAATTTAAATGTTAATCTCATCCCAAAACACTCTCATAGAAACAACAAATAATATTTGACCAGATATCTGGGTATCCCATAGCCCAGTCAAGTTGAAACATAAAATTAGCCTTCACACTTCTAATATAGAAATTATATCTGGAAATAACTATATGCTGTGGTCCCTTTAGGGAAGGTTGATAAAAACCTAGTTTTTATCTGAGAAGATTGCATCTTCTCAGCATGTTACTCAAATATCTGTTGAATATGCTGAGTATACTACAATCCCAGCCCTGGACCAAAAAAGGCAGTTTATGATTTTGGTGATGATGATGATGAAGTGTAAGTCATTTAAACTCTTGACAGTTATATTTATGGAGCAAGACATTTCCTTTAATGCTATTTTATAGGCAAGAGGGAAAAATCTGCAAACATATTTTGGATAACATACAAAATTGTCAGGCTCTTGAGTTACTTCATATTTAGAGTGTAGGAGTACTTTACATTAACATGGAACATTCACACTTTATATAAGCTGGGCTTCGGGAAGGTTCAAGATATCTGGAAAACAGACTTTGTATAAGGATGTTCATATTGGAATGATGAGTCTATCCCAACTTCCCCAGGGAAGAATTTAGTAAACAAGGCTGATTCAAAGGCAGCCTTTGACATAGTGAAAATTCTTTCAACTGTGGACCTTATTGTTGCAGGAAAATGGGACAGTAAAATCAAGAATGAAAAAATCTCATATTCTTACTAGCTGTTTTAGAACTCAAGCTTTCAATGCCAGACTGGGTAACCAAGCCTGGACTTGAGAGGGGAGCTGTGGATAGAAACATTAATCAAATTTGCTTTGAGGAAAGCTACTCACCTAGAGCACAAGACATCTGAGAACTTTGTCATGGGCCATTCTGGTCAGTAAATTAAGGGCCAAGTGCTTGTGACATTAGTATTTTGGCAACTACTCCCACTCCCTTTCCTCTTAATAAAAGTCACAGAATCCTATCTTAGAGCTGGAAGCATATTTGCACTGTCTAGCTTCTCACCCTTCCAATTCAGAATGTGGGGGGTCATTTAGGCCTGGGCCACATAGCTCACCAGGCAGGACAGAGCTGATTTCAAAATACCATTAGTATATCTTCGAGGATCTTTCTAATTGATCTCTAGAGTAGAGCCAGCCTTCGTTTCTCAGTCACCCGTATGCCATTGATGGAAGTGGTTTCATTCTCTCTTTTATAAATTTCATTTGAAAATGATGACTCATTTCATTGACGACTTCTTTCAACAAATATTTATTGGTAATTTGGCACTGTGACAAGCATTGGAGATAAAGGTGATCAGAAACAGGGAAGGACCCAGTCCTTACGGAGCTTATAGTTTAGTGATTTTATTAGTAATTTTCATAATAGTTTAATTATTATTATTTAGATCTTTTATACTAATATAATTTATCAACAGAAAGAATATATAAAAGAAATAAAATTTAAGATTCCTCTGCTGTCTTCTTTGGCTTTTTCTATTTTAACAAATTCCTTTTATATCATTGTCCTATGCCTATCCTTTTACCTTAGTTTTAATCATGATGTATGTTTTGCATTAACTTTTAAAAAATATATTTTATTACTTTATTTGAGAGAGAGCATGAGAGGAGAGATGTTAGCGGGAGAAGCAGACTCCCTGCTGAGCAGGGAGCCTGATGTGGGACTCAATCCCGGGACTCCAGGATTATGACCTGAGCTGAAGGCAATTGTTTAACCAACTGAGCCACCCAGGCACCCTGCATTAACTTTTCATGTGTGAATGATCTTAGCAGACTTCTCCACAAATGCTACATCACAAGCATTTTCCCTATCACTATCTGCAAAATTATCATTTCTGTAAATACAGATAGCTTGCCATATAATTTCCTTAATGATTCTTTTATTTGGGGGCATTAGTTGTATATAATTTATTAATATATAACATTGTGGTAGTTTCTTTTTTCTTCTCTTGAACTTTACCTTAGAAACTAAAGAGCTGAAATTCTATAAATTGGAGTGATGAGATGCTTTTCTTCTGTGATGAACAAGATGAGAAGTAGATGACACATTTTGGGGCCTCTCAGTTTACCTTAGAATTCCAGATGACTAAAAGAACCAGTGGGAAGCGTGACAACCAACCAAATATTTTGCCACCAGATGCATGATATAAAGACATCTTTATCTTCTTTTTATTAAGAATAAAAAAGAAAGTAGAGGGAAATATTTCTATGTATACACATTCACAGGATTACATACATATGAGAAAAGAAACATTGAAACCCCTGATAGGGTTTTAAAATGTATTTTTCTAGGCTTCTATTACACTTAAGTTATCACATTATGTTAGCCTACTGAATTCTGAAGCGTGAGATCATCATCAAAATGACCATAATCTCTTGTAATATAGAAAGAATTCTTTTTGCCCATTCTTATGACAGATCCATCACTGGTAGCATTCCTTCCCTTGTCAACCATAGACTGCTTCCTCTTGTAAAAAGTAAGCATGGGCTTACTGGAAGTAACGTCTGTGCTATTTTACTTTTCTTGGTTTGATTTTCCAAAGGGTTATGGATGGGAAGGAGAGGTCTGATATTCCCACCGGGAGTCCTCATGCGGCTATCATGGGAATGTCCCTAATGAAGGACAAGTCGGATCTAATGAAGAGCAGGGTACAGTAAAGTAGTTAAGTCGAGTCTCACATGCTTCTTCTGGATTTCAGTTATTCCAGGCAGTCTAGTAGATTCTGAATTACCAGCAGCTGCTCACTGGGTTACTTTCTTGTCTGCCACAGCTGCCACCAGCTGTTCTCTCTTTCTTACCCCACGCCCAGATGCAAACAGCCGTTCTTCCTTTCTTTACAATTGTCAACAGTGGCTCATTTTGCTCCAAACACACGGACACCTGCAACAAGAGGAATTGTGTTTTTCAGCTGTGCCAAATACTGGACAGCCTTCAGAAGGTTGAACGGAGGAAGGGAAAGAAGGAATGAGATGTGGTTTGATGTAGAAAGAGCCTGTGTTGGCAGACAAAAGATGGGTGGGATGCTTCTGGTTGTTTTACAGAGGCTGAGTAAGACAGTAACAACAGATACTCATACTTCTTTCTTATGATGGCATTCACTTTGAAAAGCAGAGAATTATCACTAATAAATAAATCCCAGGAAACTGAGCATCAGAGAAGAAATTATGATGGTGATTTAAAGGTTTGGTTTTCATTCATTTAAGAAATATTTCTTCTGGGCGCCTGGGTGGCTCAGAGGGTTAAGCCTCTGCCTTCGGCTCAGGTCATGATCTCAGGGTCCTGGGATCGAGTCCCGCATCGGGCTCTCTGCTTGGCAGGGAGCCTGCTTCCTCCTCTCTCTCTGCCTGCCTCTCTGCCTACTTGTGATCTCTCTCTGTCAAATAAATAAATAAAATCTTAAAAAAAAAAAGAAATATTTCTTCTGTCAAGCACTATTCAAGGCACACAGTAGGTGTTCAATAAATGGGCACGCATTTATGAACACACATGCATATTTATCTGTCTGGTTTCAGTGATATTGAAAGAGAACGTTTTATTTCTGTTATTTTTATTTTTTTTTGTCAAAAGAGAACATTTTAGCCTGATAATTCACAGACCTGTACCCCTGGGGCAAATAATACATTATATGTTAATAAAAATAATTAATAAAAAATATGAAAAAAAGAGAACATTTTAAATGATTTTTTTCTCTTGAATTCAGCCTCTCCTTTACTCATCCCCACCATCTTTGGGATTGGGGACTTTTGGATTATCCCCTTGACCAAGAAATATTCCTGGTTCTTATGTCTTTCTCTCTTTGCAGGGACTAGAGAGAAGAAAAGAGAAATGGAGAGGGAGGGCATTCACATTTACTAAGCCCTTAATGTGTCCCCAGTACTGCGCATCATCTTTTATATAGGTTATCTCATTTCGTCTTCATCAGAAACTTAGGAAGTCTGTATTACTATTTCCGTATAGCTCATAAGGAAACTGAAGTTGGAAGCGTGAAGCTACTACAACCACACAGCCAGGCAACGACACAGCCAGGACTGGAGAGACTCTTCCACTCCAGAGCATGAGCTCTTTTCACACCAGCCTGCTCTTCAGAGAATATTAATGTGAGTAGTAGAGGATACCGATCGTGATGATTGGGTTCAATGCTGTGATTGTAGAAGTAGGGGTCTAATCCGTCCAAAGGCTGCACCTTCAACTGGAAATTGGTCCAAATTTCATTCACCATTTTAAGCTGTGGAGCACTGTCTAAAGGCTGAATGAAAGATGAGATACTGAGGACTCATAGATAAAGTTGTTATCACAGATATAATCTCTACCTTCCTAGAACGTTTTCTGTTAACAGTGGGTTTTGAAAGAGTATTTGACCAAAGTCGGGGAGGACCTTCATTTCACACCCTAACTCCATCCATTAGTATTCAAGCAATGTTAGTGATTATCCTTTGGAATATTGAGTGGGAAAAAACTGGCGGAGGCTCTAAGGAAACTTCCTCTGGTTTAGGGAGCCATTAGGAAAAGCTCCTTATTCTTGTAAAAATTTTCCCAAACTTTCAGGGCCAGGTTTCTGCAGCTGGCCAAGAGTCAGCCTCAGTTAGGATCCTGCCAAATTGGGCATCAACAGCTCATTTGGCTTGGAAAAAAAAAGAAATGAGAAACAACTGACGTTTGTATACTTGAAATTATGAGCTGTTTCTCTAACAAAGAGACCAAACACTTTCGGCTTGTTTTACAGTAAACATACACATTGAACAATTTGGTTGGTTAGCAGCTGGTTGTGCATATGTAGGACATATGTGAACACATATGGAGGCATAAACTCACATATGTTCACTTAAAAGGACACTGTCAAGTCATTTTATGACTTTTTTTGTTCTCTGGGCTCCATTGTTTATAAAATCTTCTTAGAAGCTTAAAAATACAATTTCTTTCCCTACTGATTTTTGTTCTTTTTTTTTTTTAAAACAAGTGTTTTGAATGAGACTCAAATAAATGCAACTGGTTCGATTTAATACCAAGTCCTACTTAAGCATACATAGCAATACAATGTCCAGTCAGAAACAAAGCACTAACAGTGAGATAATTCCTTATGAAGAGAGAAAAAACCATCTTCTGCCCTTAGAGTCGACATTTCAGAATTGAATAGTACTCACAGATTATTTTCTGGCTCCCCAGTGTTTTTATGTATGTATATATGCATGCATGTATGTTTGCATGTATTTTTAAACTATGAAATGCTTTACAGATTTGCATGTCATCCATATGCAGAGGGCATGCTAATCTTCTCTGTATTGTTCTAATTTTAGTGTATGTGCTGCCGAATTGAGCACCCAAGTGCTTTTAGTGTTAGATACCAAATATAGGTAATAGTGACCATGATAAAACCTATTTTTTTCCATTTTCCTTAATGTTCAGCAATATTTTTCTAGCTTCATTACTAAGCAAAAATCCCTTTAAAAAATCCTTGCTTTGGGCAAAAGCTGTGAGGAATCAGATCAAAATGGCTAAAAAAAAAAAACCAAACTGAAAAGATGCTCCAAATCACAACCATTTGGGAAAACAAGAAGTTAGTTAATGATAAGTTGTCACTTTACATCCATCAGACTGGCAAAAGAAAAAAGCAACAATACACATTGCTAGTGGAGACGTGAGAAAAAGGGCACTGTCATTCATATTTCGCTGGTGGAAATGGGGATTTTAAAGAGCTTTTTTGGGGGATGTAAATCTAGCAACATTTCTTAAAATTTTGTGAAATTAAGAAAAACATTTCTTAAGTTAAAAGTATATACTTACCCTTTAATCCAGCATTCTCCTGTTGGGAATTTAACTCATGGATACAGGAGCACTACCTTATAGGATATAAACACAGGATTTCTACAGCAGGATTGTTTATTGTGGCAAAATAACAACAAAAAACTGAAAGCAAGTGAATACCCTTTAATAAGGAACTGTTGTCAGATAAATTATTGTATGTCTATACCATGGAATATTACATGACAACATCCCCCCAAAATGAATTAGGCAATACTAGTTGCTTAGAAGGATTACCACCAGAAACTGTTGAGGGAGAAAAGCAAGATGTGTAAAACAGTATATTATATGAGTCCTTTTCTAAATCATTGATCAAAAAAACTTTTATACATTATTTCTCTACATTTCTCTTTTGCCTATACATACATTTGCATAAGGTTAGATGGTGATGGAAACAAACATGAATGGATATGTTCTAGGCTGTTAAGATGGATTGTCTAGAAGGTGGTGGTAGGTGAGGAAAAGAAACAAAAAAGGAAAAGCCTAATGTAAGAAAAATGTGGTTGAAAGGTGGTCACATTTATGCAAATTATATGTGTATATGCAAAAAAGGAATTTTTGAAATGATAAGAGATCATTGAAATAAAACGTTCTCATCTTATAGTTTTCAGGATTTCCATAGACTGAGATAAAGGAGAATGTGAAAGTTCTGGAAGAAGTCAGATAATCATGGAAGAAATTGAACTTAAGGGTTGGCCAGACCTTTTAGGAGTCCAAGGTTTTCACTTTAAGATCAAGAATAGCAGGTTGCATTTCAATCATTTCAGGGTACTGGTGCCACCAAGTGGTGTCTGGAGCAATTGTTGGTGGCATTTTATTACCCTCCTGGTGAAGGAAACTCTTGGCTTACCTGTGCCTTGCATCGTAGTAAGCGGTCTATGGAGGGCTCCAGTTCTCCTTGGAATGAAGCACACCCCTGCGAGCCTGGCGACATGATCAGAAGTATGAGAAGAGATAGGGAGCGGACGGCTTTTGCCTTAGAATCTGAGCTCCCTTGGTTTTTCCAATCAGCATGTCCTCTGCTACGCATTTACCTGTCAAGTCCCTTGAGGTGTGTTTAATATTTTCTAACTACTTAGACTAGTATTACAACCTATCTGACCTCTTTAACAGCCTGTTCTCTTATATAGGCTTTCTCTTTTTATTGCCACCGTCCTAGCTTGGTCTCTTGTGGCTTCTTTCCTAGTGCCATAAGAACATTTTCTTGGGCTTTCCTATCCTCGATGTCTTTCTGGTCTATTCTGGCCAAAGCCCACTTCTGTCTAAGTTTCCTGAAGTTTGGGTCACTTAACAACACTATTCAAAAGCCTTCAGTTGTTTCTCCCTGCCCATCATCCAAGTCTAACACCTGAGCACAAGCTTTTAATAGGTGGCAGTATTTCTCAGTTTGTCTGGGATTGTCCCAGGTTACTTCTGTTGTCCCAGTGTAATTATTGTGACTTTATTCACTCTCAGAAGTGCTCTGGTTTGGATAATAGATTATAGAGACATGCTAGCTCTTAGCCACTTGGTTCTCCTGCCTGTAATACATACAATAAGTAAGCTAATGGAAGAATGTCTCAAGTTTGTGGCAGATGGAGGAATTAGATCTGGGTAGAGAGTGTATCTTTTTTTCTTCAAATGTTGAAAAGCTAAATATAAATTGCTTGGTACTTATTACCTTATTTAAATTTTATCTTTTTTGTTATTTCAGTGACAAGTAGAATTTCTTGTTTGAACTTGAGGAAGAAAATCTTAACCTTTGTAATTTTCATGTAGCTCTCTGGGTTTTTCACAGACTCTCCAGAGTGGTCCCATTTGGGGCCTGATGAATGTCACATTCATAATTTGTTACCCAAGATGAAGAGTATTCAGCTGAGTAATGATACAGAAATTCTAAAAATTTTGAGGAGGTAGGAGCACCAATTCTGTGAACTCCTTCAGCATAAGAGGACATAGCTTAGTCATCCAGCAGTTAACCTAGTGCTTGAGCATTAATGCCGTGGAGAAGGATTTTGAGCGGCCCCTGACAGCTTGTGAAACTGATATGCGGGCCCTGCATTCTGGTTTAAGTATCTTCTACTTCTGGTTGCTGTATTTGGGATGTAAGATGAGCTTGAATATATACTGTTTAAGGAAATGCATTATCCTTAGCTCACCATCACTGGGAATGCACTGTGAGTTTTTTCTGCAGATTTTTTTAAAAAAGATTTTATTTATTTGTTTATTTGTCAGAGAAAGAGAGAGAGAGAGAGAGAACACAAGCAGGGGGAGTGGCAGGCAGAGGGAGAAGCAGACTCACCCAGTGCGGGACTTGATCCCAGGACACTGGAATCATGATCTGAGCCAAAGGCAGAAGCCCAGCCGACTGAGCCATCCAGGTGCCCCGAGGCAGAACAGATTTTTCTCCTACCCAGTCCTTTTCATAACCAGTTAAATACATTTTCAAGACAACCAGAGCTTGGGGTCTTGAGAAGGACTGAGTGTGAGAACTAGACCTTTACAGGCTTGGAGCTGTGATCTCATGAACACCAGACATTCCCCGAATGATGAATAGTCATGTAATGCCCATATACCTCCAGTCACCAGCAGCCCTTTTTTCTTATGATCTAGATTTGAGCCATTCTAAAGTCCAGGAATTCAAAAATCAATTTAAGCTATTCTTTAACTAGCTGAGAGTCATTCATTCATCATCATCCATTATCTCCCATGTGCCCTGCCAGGTTCTGGGCATACAATGAATAACAGGCATGACTTCCGGGAGGGCAATTTTCCAGCAGACACACATATACCCAAATCGTCACAAGCTCACACGTGCACAGGCACATCCACGCGCGCACACAAGGTGACTTCAGCTTGTTCTGTTAATGGATGGTGAGAAAGCTCCCTCTTTGTCTTCTTTTCTAATGTAGCTTATTTTAGGATACTTTTTCCTGATGACGCCATCAGGAGCAGAATCAGGCTTTAGACATGCTGACGCATCTACAGATATTTGGGACTCTGTCATCCATCAGTTTTCCTTTGTATATTTCTCCTTTTTTCCTCTGACTGTGTGTTTAATACATCTGAGTAATTTAGATACAAGAGCAAGATGTTTTCGCCTCATGCTTGTAAATATGCTCCAGATTGTGAGTTCTTCCAGATCAGGGACTGTGTCTTAATATAGAGACTCTGCATCTGACTGCCTATATTTGAACCCCAGCTCTGACACTTTGTAGCTTTATGACCTTGGGCAACTGTTGTAACCTCTCTGTGCCTCAAATGGCTTCTCTGTATAATCGACATCTTGGGTTTTGCTTCTTTTTTTATTTTTAAATTTTTACTTCTTAAAGTTTTATTTATTTATTTGAGAGAGACAGAGACAATGACAGAGAGCATGAGCACGGAGGAGAAAGAGAAGCAGGCTCTGTGTTGAGCAGGGAGCCCGACATGGGACTCAGTCCCAGGACCCCAGGATCATGACCTGAGCCAAAGGCAGATGCTTAACCAAATGAGCCACCCAGGTGCCCTTACTTCTTTTTTTTTTAAACAACTTTATTGAAATACAATTCACATATCATAAAATTCCATTTAATGTGTGTACAAGTCAGTGTTTTCTAGTATATCTACAGTTGGGGAAAGCATTCCCACAATCTAATTCTAGAACATCTTTATTGCCTCCCAAAGAAACACTGAAGCCACAATCACTCCCCATTCCAGCCTACCAGTTGTTATGAGGATTAAGTGAATTACTATATGAAAAACACTCAGAATATTATCTGGCACCTAGTAAGTGTTATGTAAATGATGGCCACTATATTGCTATTATTATTAACAATATCGTTGCTACTCTGTGCCCTCAGCCAATACAATGACTGATACTAGTTTCTTGCTGAATAAATGAAACAGTGGGAGAGAGTAGAAGACACATTTTGTAAGAATTTTACGTAATGATGAGAAGAATGCCCTATACTGTGTGTATAGTACAGACATAATCAAAGGCGCCAAAGAATCTGTGTTGGAGCCCAATACTTTCACGAAGAAAGAGGTTTTAAAATGGGCTTTTTACATAGTAGCTTGACAGGATGGTGTTGATGATTAAAGAATTTCATCCCAAGTCCTGAATGCTGATAAGTAGATTCGTGACCCAAGGAAGGACACAGAGGCTGAGCCTCTTTGTAGGTAACCTGTAAAATGAAATTGGATTCACTAAATGATTACGAAATTTACTCCTCTTTCTAACATCCCATGATGCTGTCTGCCAATAAGTGTCGCAAGGATTTTACATATCATTTGGAACCTAGACACAAAACCCTGTGACATTCATTTTATGGTCTTATTTGTTACAGTTCCTCAGTGTCTTGTGTTCCCAAAGAGAACATAAGCATGGATCATCCCATCCTTACACCTTCCATTGGCTTCCCTCTACCTATAGGATAAAGCTCAAAATCCTTGACAGAGCATGCACGACTCTCGTGGTCTCTTTTTTACCTGTGGAATATCTACCCTCAGTCCTCCTGGGCGCCATACAATTGATACTAGTTTGGGGGAATCTGAGCAG